AAAGTTAAATTCATTTTTTCATACTCTTCTTATGTTGCAGGTTGAAAATGTGAAATTACTAGATCGCTATACAAATAGGAAGGCAGCAAATGGGACATTATACCTGACAGCTACCCACCTTATCTACGTAGATGCTTCTGCTGAAGTCAGAAAAGAAACATGGGTATGTTGTGATACCTGGAGTCTGTTTAAACACAAGTGTAAGAATTGCTTTATATCTCGTATCCAAAATGAACAGGTTGGTGAATTCCAAAGTTGTAGTGGTCTTTTATAGCATTTTGATACCAAATGCTTAACAGAAACAGTTGTTTTGGAAGGAAGTGAACACAATGGTAATGTGACTTGATAGAGGTCACTCACTGAATTAGTGTTAGTTCCAGGAACATAAAAAAACTTGTCTAGTTTCCTATCTCAATATACCAAGCCACCAAACTTGAATTTACAGCTTTTAGAACTGCAAAATTAGCACTGGAATTAGCAGCCTTTTTTATTAGTTCTAAAGTAGAATGGGAATGACAAAATATATTGTATATGGGAGTGGAGGGAAAGCAAAGCGAACCAGCTAAACCAAGCTGCACATCAATCTCTAAAAGTAATTTGTATTATATATCTGTTTTTTCAATCTTGCTCTTGGTTACCTAGCCTTTGGGTGCATAGTCTGGATGTTTATTATGTTTGTTTGATAAATATCACAAATAAACTCATTTTCTGCTGCTAGTTAGATGCAGGAAGCATAAATAGCTGATGGTATTGCAAAAACTTAATAAATGCTCGTACTGCTCGCAACCTTCTGAAAAATGTTGTTTATTTCCTGTTTTTCAGATTCTGCATCACCATATTGCAACTGTAGAAAAACTGCCCCTGACTACGGCTGGATATCCACTCCTTATTCACTGCAAGAACTTCCACGTGGCTCACTTTGTTATTGGGCAGGAACGTGACTGTCACGAAGTGTACACCTCGTTGCTTAAACTTTCACAACCAGGTATTTAGGACGGGAGTCTGTCTTGCAAATCGTTGAAACGCTTTAAGCTGGAAGGCTCGTCTGAGCAATAGAGAAAGCTTTGCCTGCCAGACTATTGGTTTTACGGTGTCAGTGCAGGAGGGGGAGGATGTGAAATCAGAAACGGTTTCCACCACCGGAGATGGGCTGTGGGGGTCGGCTCAGTAAGTAGAGCGGTGCCCTGCGGACCGGGCCATTTGCTTCCAAACCAAACACAAATCTTTTGTGGCGGTGGCAATGAGGTGGTCTCCCGTGATGAACTTCTGAAGGCCTGTGCAAAGTTCATTTTCCCGACTGAGGCT